TAAATTTAAAATGCATCCTTCCTTATTTGTTATGATACCATAAACATTTGGTCCTGTAGATCATCAAATTCAACAATACTATTTTTACTTATTTTAACATTTTCCAACATTTTAAAATAAGTAAAACTAATAAAAATGGACTATTCATCCATAATGTATTAGAATTCAGTTGGACACAGACATGAAAAAGAATAGATATGACATACATTAGAACTTTTATCTATTGCTTAGGCTTTAAAGAATCATTTCTCATGTCAACATTGGCCAATTCTTCTGGGCCAGTCTGCTTTATCACTACTATATCACTCTCCTTACCTCGCTGTAATCGTATATTTAAAAGAAACCAGCTATATTAACTTTGTAATTTGATCAATTAATTGTCACGTGCTGTTTTACGGGTTTTTTCTCATCGTTTCCTAGATTTGATAAAAGAATAATTAATATCGGAGTCAGGGGTTATTTATATATACTACTAATTATTCCGTTTATTTCAAATTTCATCAAACAGAAATTCTAAACTGGAACATCCAATAATTTGCAACATCCTGATGATTTCTCTTCCGTATAATTGGGCTATTGACAATATTTCATCATCGTTGTCATTTTGCAGCAGCGGTTACTACCATCTCAATACCACTACCGGAAAATAAAATCAGATCTCATATTGATTTTTGTTTTGAATAATTCATAACATCTTTTTTTCAAAGAAATGTCTTACTTTTCATTCAAAAAAAACATATTAATGTTAATAAAATATTTATTTATTTATATTTAATTACATATTAAAAATATTTCATAATAATAGCATGCTATGTTCGGAACACCTGTTTGCTTGATGGTCCTAATTAAGGTCTTATTTTTGAGACTGAAATTCTGTTAGAAGCAATTTCAAAAAATCATACTATTATTTTCTGGTTAAATTTTATTAAACCGATTGCTACCACTGCAATTATTTTAATTATTTTCTCTGACCTCTATTTTACCTTTTAAGCAATTTTTTAGTAAGTTAAATAAAATTTTCAATTTCTTAGAGTTCAATTCTATTTTAAATAATTGAAAACATTTAGAATTTGTCACGAGTTTTTTTACAATTTGATAGATTGCCGGTATTTGAAATGGAGCTGAACGGTTGAACAAAACATTTTTAGTGACCTTTAACGATACTTTCCATGGATAGAAAAAAATCACATGACAGTTGATTGATTTCAAATGATGCAAAAAGACTTTAAAAATATTACTTTGAGAAGTATTTTTGTTTCCGGAATTCAATAATATTGACAGTAGAATTATTGATTAATTATTTGAAAATGTACATTTTAATTATATTTAAGATTGCATTGGCTTTATTATTCAATGCATGCAATGAACTAAATGATCGACAAGCGATGATAAATATTTATATCAATCTAATCATATCACACTCATCATCGATTGAGACAATCATCTTTATTGTATAATCGACCTTTCCATTCGGTTTCAATGCGTGCAACTCACACTTCAGAAATGTAACATGCAGTAATGCACGTATTACTAGAAAAAGCACAATAATGCAATTATAATTTCTATTTTCATTCTTTCGCTTTCAGAATGTTAAATAAATTGATGCGAATTTGTTTCACTCAATTTATATCTGCAATAGCTTTCCCATTAAAAATTAAGAGAAATGACTCTGAAAACATTAATAATTGCTAATTAATTCAGGCAAATGCTGCATTTCCACTTTGATATGAAATTTCCATTTACAAATTAAAAATTCTAATCTACAAGTAAAAGCTCATTCTTATAATAAAATCTTGTGCTTTCCGGATACTTCGAAATTCAAACAATTTTTCATTAATTCTTAATAAGTCTTCTGCCTGCCTAATATGAAATAAAATCCTTTTAAATTTCGGCAGTACTTTTCTTAAATCGCTGATTAAAATACTTTCCCCCCTCCTCCACTTCTCTCCAATCTCTTTCTACATTTTTATAAATTTTGATTCAGTCGATAATTGCCTGCTAAATACGGATATAAGATTTTAGCCACGTTTAACTAATGGCGTCACCATGTAAAATGGGCCATTAATTTCAGTCTCACCCCTGTTATTTAAGATCAATAATTGCAAATGATTGTTTTAATTTATAGAAGTTAAACGAAATTTTAATTATTTTTAATTAAATTGCTTGCATTCCTATTGGGCATTTGTTACCTAAAAACAACAAAAATATGCAGACAATGAATGATTTATTAATTTTAATAATCAAATGAAAACTGGTTGTTGCAGTTCCTTGCCAATGAGCCGAAAGGAAAAAAAGAAATATAAAATGAGTCAGATCTGTAACAATTATTTCTCTTTTCTACAAATTTTACTATAACAAATCGTATCACCCCCATTCTCATCTCTTCTCTACTTTTTCCAACTTTTTTCCTCCTTCCGCCATAATCGTATTTGTCATCTTGAAATGATGATTTGAAACTCATTTCAAATGTTAAACGCACTTTTCACCTTAATACCAAATATCATCCTTAATTTGTTTCTTTTTCATGGAAATTAAAAAATTGTAATTTTGATTATTTGATAATTCAAAATGTGTTTATTTGTTTCTGCAGTAATCAGTCACAATCTGAACTCCATTTAGCACTTTTGTTCTTCCTCTCTCTCTCTATTAATCCAGTCACATATCGTTATTAACAATCAACAGACTTCATGATCTGTTGTGGATTAATTTTTTTGCAAAGTTCGAAGAGATCGAAGAAATATTGTCACCCACTCGCTACTAACTTTAAAATTCATAAGTTTGATAGGTAATTAGTAATTAATGAAAAAAACGGAATTGAATTAATTCCTAGTCAAATTTTTTAAAGACCTCAACGCTTTATATAGACGAAAATATCCTCGTGTTTAAATTCTTATTTGTATATATCTCAATCTAAAAACTATAATTGAACTGCTCAAGTTTTCTATTCATTGATATTTAGCATTATTTGGTGCGTAAAGAAAAGTTTATGTAAACACAAAGTTCTTCTAAAAAATCCACAGAGCGTTACATGAAAAGCCTTTAATGGGAGCTAATTTTGTATCTGTGAAAATTCATTCCTGCTAAGTCTTCATTTTTGAATTAACTTTTGTAATTATTTAAAATTTAAAATCTCATATGATAAATTCAAGTGTGAGAAGATGGAATGAATTTATCTTGAAGTCATGAAATCTTCAATTATTGTTTAAAACTGAAAGAAATGAAAAAAGTTTTGCAAATGTATAAATATCGTCTCTTTTTAAACATTCTGTGTATAAATTAACAAGAAATTTAACCTTTTCAATCATTTCCTTTCTATTTACATCTTTATAAATGACTAAGTTGCTTTAAAAAAAAAAAAAACTCTTGTTTTCGTTCTGGAACATTTCTAATTTGCAATTACTACTAGTAATAAAATTGGCCAATATGGTGAATACAAAATTCTTCAAATAGCTTTGTTTATTTTAAATTTTTAGTTTGTTTTTGTCAAAATCAAAAATTTTATTCAGCACGATTTCTCGATGAAGCGTAAGAAATGGAAGAAAATTAAGGAGGTTATTTTTATATTAAGTCGTTGGTCAATAAAGGGATCATAAATTTTTAGCTATGACATTTTTGTAGAGTTCTGAATCTTTAGATAATTTGTTGGTAATGGAACGAAAAATGATTTCTAATTATAATAATTATTAAAGTTTGCATTCGAAGAAAATTATGGTGCTTCAGACTAACATATCTTAAAATAATATATTATATTCAGTATGAAGAAAAGAGTAGCGATTGTTAATTTTTTATTTTTTCCAATTTTATGCGAAGTAATCAAACTTTTTCTCTAACATTGAAGTCAAAATCATTGTCAAATCTGACAATTATTTTCATCTGAATTTTCCTGAAAAATCAATTTTTTGCCATTTTTTTATATTCGAACAATTGTAATAATTTATTCGTCAGCAGACATAAATTATCATCAGCTAACACACTATCAACCAAATATTCTTCCACAATTCTATTTTTTCGATTCCATAAAACATATCAAGAAGAGATGTTGCTGCTTATTTTTTCTATTTACTGAAGAAATCAGAGAACATGAATATGTATATAATAATGATGAATGAATTGATTGATTGATTCTGAAATTATCTTCCTTTTTTTGCTATCTAATATTTTAGATTTTTTTGCTGTCAAAAACATTGTTATTCTAAATATGTTTAAAATATTTAGGATTTGAAAAAATCTAAATATCTTATTGTTATCTAAAAATACTTAAAATTTAAGTATTTAATTAAAAAGAAAAGCCCGAAAATTCAATTGGCAAGCATGATTTGAACTTTTTGAGTTTTTAAAATAATTTTCTTATCATAGATCTCGGCTTGTTAAGACAGTAACATTATTCTCTTGTAAATGCTTTTGTCGTCCGAATAATTTTTATCCGATAAAGATAGTTGAGATTTGTTTTATTTAAAAATGACGAATATCTCAAGTTGAAATGAAAACTTGAATACGTATTCTCGAAATAATTTTCACTTAAATTTTATTGATGGATTAGAAAATGCTTCCTGTTGCATTCATTATTAAAGTCTACTAATTTTTTGGATCAAATCTTATAGAAAAATTTAAGAAGACTTTTGGAATTGTATTTTTCTTCCGCATTTTTTAGCAATTTTTTTTCTATTTCTTCCGCATTTTCTATCTGTCCATTTCAAATCAGTGGTTTTTTTTTATATATGTACTGACAAGGGCAAAATTGCGATCATTTATTCACTGTTAAAATATGTATAACTTAAAATCAAATTTCCTACCAAGTCTAAACATTTTTAAAATTAATTTATGTATTTAAAACTTCAATAATTCTTTCCCTTAAGAAAATGAAAGGAACAGGCAAATGTCAAAATTAAAACGCTATCGTTAGGAAGTAATAAAACAAAAATTTATGTTATGACATCACCGAATAGGTGTTTTACAGTTTACATTCCAGAACGTGGCATCGAAATTGTTCAACTGTTTTAATGGTTGTAAGTGAAGTACTTTAAGTGTCTCTGCTATGTCATTAACTCTATGACTGTTAAACTTTTCGGATATATTCTTTGCAGAATTTTCGCTTATTTGCATATCTAACAACAACGATAGTGACATCACCGCTATTGCTACCGCCATCACCACCACTATCACCACTATTACCAACGTCCCAACCACTACTACCACCCTGCTACCACTACTGTTACTATCCGATCCTAACATCAGTGATGTACAACAATCCTGCTTGTGCTCAATCAAATACTACTACTACTATTACTTCCGTTCCTACCACATTTTCTGACTATTCCACTTATATCCCTTATGCCATTAATCCTATTAATGGTAAATTTCTTATAAAATTACAAAAAATTTTTTAAACTTATAGACGAAAAAAATTTTCCATTAATTTAACAGTGTAAGGACATGATTATTGTTAATTTAAAAAGAGAATTTTGAAAGTAGATAATAGTCTTTGGAAATGTTTGTATTTCGCAGTGACATACTTCAAAGACAAGAATGGGTACATTTACTCTTGACATTGCTTAACTTAATTTTTCCTACATTTTTTCCCAAAACTGCATTCGCATTCTGAAATTTCTTCTACCTTTACTTTCTTTTAGATCGTACCGTAATGAGTTCCTATTATGGTGGTGCACATCCAAGCCAAAGTACGGCTTATCGAAGTTACTTAAAACTTGATATCAGCCCTGCATTTTATAAACGATCCAGGTTTTTAGATCTTTCAGCTTACAACTTAATAAACAACCACTCCTTTTCAAACTTTCATTAAAAAAATTTTTTTCTTGTGTTAAAAAAATTTTAGATTCTGTTGATAATGGAATTTCAACAAGAATCAATTAATTAAGTAACCATAAAAAAACATTAAATACATAATGAATAAACGACTGTCGCAATATCTCTTCCACACTTATACACATAGAATATGGCATGAAATATTTTGAGAATCATTTAAAACTTATCAAAGATCTTGAGTTGATTTTTTTTTTAGAACTGTGCCAACACGAATTGTACCGCCGAAAATTCACAAAATGGTGTATACGAAACGAAATCGTGGTTATGCGGCCGATCCATATTTCTTTGATCTAAGAGAATATAGGTTCTAGCATCAAAATTGAATTACTTAAAATATTTTTTCAATTATAATTCTAATTGTAATTCAATGAAAGAAATATTTTTCAATTATAATTCTAATAAGACTTTAATTGTGAATACGTGCGTGATAATTTTTTAACTTAATAAGCTCAATAATCTACTTTACTTTAGAAGCTTTTCTGGTCCTTGGAAAGATGCTAGAAGATGGCCAATGTATCGAAAAAAGAAAGGATCTTCTGGCCGGATACATACATATCAGGTTAGAATGATTAATCTTTTTAAATATTTCAAAGTTTAAATTATTGCTTTGTAGGAATCGGAGTTTGGTGGCAGTCCAATCGATCAACAACCTCGTTACTACCATGGATTGTACAGAGGTAAGCAAGTTTCATGCATATTACAGAAGCATAGTTGCAAACGAAAGAATTAAATTGAAATTAATTATAGTGCAATTGGATATGCAACCTACAGCACTGAGACGAATACGACCGTACTATGCGCCAAGTTATGCAACCTATCCGCCAAGTATAATGAATGCGGTAAGAACAAAGGAGGAGAAGTACGGCCAACGATATTCCATTATGATGAGAATTACTGTTAAGGCGATCGAATTGGTTGGTAATTTTTAGTTCTTGAATAAATGACCATTTACTTTTTAATCATACCTATTTTGAATTACTGTATGCTAATAGCGCAGATAGTACTTTAAAAAGAACATTACTTAAAGTATCGCTGGTTGATAATAATTAGATTTCGAAGTAATAGCGATTGAATGCTAAAGAATTTCTAATATATTAAAAAAAGTATATTTTGTTTAGATACCCATAAATTAAAAATTTTCCGATAGATTGAATTTAACTACAACTAACTTTTAAAATCTCGATGCTCTCTTATGCGTTTTTACAAACAATTAGATTACCATTAAAATTATTTCGAGTTCGCTATTACATTAAATGAGTTTAATGATTACAAAAAAAAGAACAGAAACCACATAATATAGAATTATCACAATTTTTCTGTGTAATATTTTAAAATTTAATGGTCATTTTCATTTTCTAAGAGCGATTTAGTTGCTTGGAGCTGTCACAATAGGACTTATAGTTGCTCCAATGCGTGAAATGTCCATTTATGGATTTGTCAAAATGACCGAAACCGAATGGCAAGCTTTGGTACTGGGCATTTCCGCATCTTTCTCGGCGCTGTCCCTTGTTATGTTATTCGGTGCCTCTTTGGGTTATCGATATGTGTTGTGGCGAAGATTTGTTAGTCATTTTTTTCCCATTTAAAAAAGATAAAAGCAAATTGACTTAAAGTGCCAAAAAATTTATTTTATTTTGGTCATAATTTCTGTAAAAGATCTGATAATATGAAAGGCATAAAATGAATCATAACTTTTATTCCCATCTTTAATTCGATTTTGTAATGGTTCATCAATTATTCTCACCATTAATACGTATAAAAATGCATAATTACTATACTTTTGCAATCAATCTCTTAATCCTTCTGGAAAATTTTGACATTTAGGATGCAATTTTGACATTTAATAATGAAATGAATTTAGCATTACATTGCCTTCTTCCTTCACATTAAAATTTCACGTGAAATTTACTGAGGAAATAGCACATCGTGCATGCAAATTTCTTTCTTTTCTTTCTGATAATTTTTTTGTAATAAATGGAATTATTTCGCTATAAAGCTTTTCTAAAAATGTTCAATTTTCCTCATTTTCATACACATCACAGCGATATCATTGATGCATGACCTTTAGGACTATCTAATCAGCTTAACTGGTTCATTCGGTCATTTATTTATTGGGGCTATAGAAGTATATTATGCGACATGTCCCAATGGTGGAAAAATTGGTTTAGTTTGTTATAGGCTAGAATGGATTGTTGCAAGTGTAAGTTCTTTTGTTTTTCATAGAAAAAAACATCTCTAAATATCAACAAATTACAGTTGACAGTTAATCTTAAATTATTCCTATTCATCACTTCTCAACCTTTACTCCTTTCTTTTGCAATTACAATAACAGAAATTTAGAAAAAAAGAGAAATTGAAATTGAAAAGTATTAATTATCATGCTTGCAGGCGCTAATATTCATCAACGTTATTGTGTATATTATAGATTGTGTTCTATCATTCCGAACAGGAATTAGCATGTTGTGATCATATATCTCCTTTTTTTCTCAAAACTCTCATTCATTTAGTACAAAATACTTTGATGATAATTTCAATAATTAAATGTATGGTGCTGCTATACGATCTTATTTGTCTTTCTCTTCTATTGATATGAAATTTTACAAGAGTTTTTAATAATATCATAACTAAAGAAATCATTTGAAGTGTTACTTGCTGATGTCTCAGTTATCTTTTACTTTCTCATTATTTCTTTCAATTCTTACTTTAAAAGATTGATATTATTAAAGTAGCAAGCAAAACTTTTAAAATTTTGTAAAAAATTTTATCTAACAGTGTTATCCAGCGATTACTTTAAAGTGAAAGTTAAGTGCGACAAGTAAGGATAAAAAAAAATAAAGCAATATTGTAACAAAATTATTTATCAGCTTAACTTTTGTTTCGAAGTAATCGCTGGAATAATACTGTTATCTGATAAATTTTTAAAACTTTATCAAATATTAGTTGCCATGACTTAATTTTGTCATAACGGATAATAATAGAAATCTTTTAAAGAATAAATGATCACTTTTGATTGGAAAAATACTCAAATGCTCCAAAATTCTTTCATAGAAAGTTATTTACCATGCAGATTTGCTCATCAAGAACTTTTCGCATTGCTCATACATAACAGTGATGATATGATAAAATTTTTGACAAGCATGTGTTGGTCTCTTTAACCAAATTCATGAAGAAAGACGTTTTCAAACTGAGAGAGAAAGAGTACCAATTGATAAATTAATGACATTTCCACGGGTAACTCAAATATTTAGTGGGAATTTTGAATGAATGCTTTAATATAAAATTTATGCTGATTAGTGAAAGTGAATATTTTGCTAAAACTTTCAAACTGAATGCTTCATATTAATTTGCTGCTCTGAGGGAAGATTAAAGTGGATGAAATGCACGTATGCGTCAGGTGTTCCCATTCTGCTTCGTCAACAATCTCCTATCATTTTGCATTAAGCATCTCGCCGATTGTCTGAAAGCTCGAATTTTATCTCAACTTTTTCCTTAGAAACAATGACTGATCACGAATCTATGGATGCTACTATATATAACCGATATTCCGATATTGGCGGTTTGCAATTTTTTTTATTCTTTTATTCAAGTTCATTCAATTTAACTGCACATACCAATCAGATATTTGTCTTTTAAAAATAAAAAAACCTAATTGTTGGGAAGGTTTGCTTAATTTTTATGCATTCTCTTTTTATGCATATCGATTCTCGCGAAATTTTTTGCCATATTTGAGACGGAAGAAAATTTTTTGAATTTTGAATTGCAAAACGGAATATTTTAACTTGAATTATTCAAAATTTATAGGTAATACTGTTCTTTACGGTAGTATAATGATGATAATCGACAGTTTTATTTTGGTAGGTCTTGAGGGTAAAAAATAAATGTAAAATTGTAATTGACTAGAAATAAAACTGTAATGTATTAAAAATGATTCAATCTGTTGAAAATAATATAGGAAAAATTTATATTCGTAAATTATTCTTAATTTCCAATTTTTGACAGATTCTGTAGAATTAAATGGAAATCAATTAACTAATTATTGATATCCGTCTAAAATATTTGTTTATTAATTGCGAATGGGGCTTCAGCATAAAATTTCTATCTGATTATCACAATAACCATTTTTCCAGAACTAAAGAGTATATTTGCAGCCTGGAATACATGGGGTCGTTGTCAACATACGGACTGGGATGCATGCGAATTGGCACGACTTCAAGAGCTTAACGAAGTATTTTAATTTTATTAAGTCTTATCAAAGCTTTCATCCGTTATCATCATTTCCAAAATTTTTGTTTAATACTTGATTTTGCTTTGTTTTTACTTTTATAATGAATGAGCTCATTCGTTATGTGCTAATTATTAATAATTAAATTACCAGCAAATTAAATTGTCCAATAAAGCTTTTCTGTGCTTCAGTAAGCAGAGCAAAATAACTCTAGAAATAATAAATTCTCTTTAATTGTATATTTTTTAACTGTTGAATCAAGTGTTTCTAATAATCTTTAGGCACGACAACGAGCAGCTCAAATGGAGAAGACGATGCGCTGGTGGTCAGAATGTACTGCATCGTGGCGGCAGAAATGGAGTACGGTGCGGAACGAACGAAATCGTGCTCGTGAGGAAGGACATTCGTTGCGGATAGCGCTTACAGAAGCCAAGGATAGTTGTGGAAAAATAAGTGTCAGATATGAGCCTGTTGCTAGAAATAATTATCTTGTATCAAACTGTTGGAATTGAAGAAGTAATTGAACCATAATACAGGAATTGCGTAATTATTAAAGGTCTTAAAACAATTAGCGAGACAATTTCATTTAATTACATTAATTCTCTTCGTGTTACTGACAATATAATCTTTCTAAAATGAACTTACTAAAAACATTTATTATGAGAATTATTTCAGGAGGAGAATAAAAAATTATTAAGTGCGAAACGAGCTGTGGAAACTGAAAATTCACTTATGAAAGCTCACATGCATTTACTGCAAAAAGAACGAATAGCCAATCGACTGGTTAATCTTACATTCTCGCGCTAAAATTCACGAATTGTTGAAAGTTGAAATTTCAAAATTTCAAATATCACACTCATTTCAAGAAGAATGAGGAACATTATGACAGTAGCAACAAAAATAGGACAGCATTAATAATTCCCATGAACTGATGTGGTTTTTATTTTGAGAGTTTCATTGATGGTCCTTTTGATAAATTCTTTTACTAATTGACCTTGTAAACATGGTAGTAATTTTAGCCACTGGAAGTGAATTCTCCGCCAGAAACACCATCAATAATGCTGGATGAAGAGTGCCAGGCACGACCGGAATACATGCACGCTTCAACAATCACCGATCAACCGGTATGCATCATGATGATTACATTTCTTCTACTGAATAAGGTTGTACTACAATGCTCTGTCACAACAAAAAAGATCATTTCTCAATTACAATAGTCGTTTGAGGTTTCTTTGCTATCAGTTTGATGGTTTATGAAGTTATGACAGGAGAGGAAATATATCAGTAATGCAGTAGATATTAGATTATGAAAATTCTTCGCATAAATCATTTTCCAGTTCTTAAAAATCTGAGATGAGAAGAGATGATATCATTTGATTTGATATTATTCATCTTATTTGAAATTAATGGAAAGCAGGAGCACTTAAAGTAATAAGCTTGTGAGTGCTTCGTTTCTCTCCTTTTTTTATTTGATTATTAGCTAATAGAAAAAGCATTAGAAAATTTTAGCCAATTAAAGCATTTCAAAATTTCACCTTCATATTACGAATCATTCTTATCCATTGATTTTTTTTTTGTTTAAAGTAAAAAAAAATTCTTACAGTTAGATGCGAACACACGATGGATGCGCTTGGATGGATCACAAGGAAAGTTATTCGAGTGGGTGCTTTTTTAGCGATATTTCATACTCCATTCGAAATAATTAAATTTTATACTTTCAAGAGAAGGAAATAAAAAGCGATATTATAGGAGTATGAGAAGATTGGAAAGTCAATGCAGTGAATTACAAACTGAATTAATGATGATGGAAGCTAAATGTACTGAACTTGAAGCTTCTCGTCTCGCTGCAAAAGAAGAAGTTTCTTTAAATATTTATAAATGCATTCAACTCATACTTCATTATCTGTCACATCAAAATTGTTGAATTTTTTTTTCAAAATTCTGATGAAATAAAACTACAAGCAAGTGGTGTAGTTTCAGTACTGGTCATATATTCTTGTTTACATGAATTGGTTCGGTCTTCAGAATAAATTCCTTTTAACTGTTAAAATACTGATCTCTCAAAATGCATCAACATATATTATATGATAATGCTGTGTTTTTTGGCCTGATACGTTGAATTTTGTTTCTTGTTTTTTAGAACTAATTTTACGGTTTGTAGATCGAGGAGTTAAAACGTTTTCAAGAACAAACACCCCTGAATACCGGTCCAACTTCACAGAAAGATGCACGAGAAATTGAAGCGGTCTGTCTGTTCGTTTTTTGTAGATTTAAAAGTTGCTAAAGATTTACTTTTCAGTCTGATATTTATTACATCTTAATGGTAAAGCAATATATCTGATGATTAATCACCTTCAGAAAAGATGAATGATTATACAAATGACTACTCCTTATTTGACCATATTACGAAACTAAATATACCTAAATTTGAAAATATTTTTTACAGATAAGGTCAGAGCGCGATGAAGCACTAAGTGAAGTTCAGACACTGAAGATGGAAAAGGAATTTCTGATGCAACAGCTTAAAATGTTGAAGATTACGATGGAAGAAAGTGAACCGGAACCCCCGAGACCTACGTGATAGTGTTGTCACTTTTGAACTCCCATGTTGTTGCTTGCCACGACACCATGAGTCTCTGCAGCTTCTTTGATTATAACTGTACTGATATGAATTTTTGCATAAACGGAACTTGTCATGATTCTTGAAATAAATCAGGCTTTTCATCTTAATACCAAGTACATTTATTTAAGAACATATTTCAACATCACATAGTATGAATCTTTGAACCTTACAAGTAGCAATTCTTTTTGTTTCAAACTGATAAATTCATTTACCTACAAACAAAGAAATTCTTCATCGAATCTGTTGGCATTAACTCCAGGACACTAATATCTTCGTAGAAATAATGAAGAAAATTTCTTGTCCTATAGGAAATCTGTTTATAGTTTAGAATGCTATGAAAGTATAAAAATGCAGGTTTCTTGATTTAAAAATTCACAAATATATGATAAATTATTTATAAGCCAACAATAAATATAAACTGACAAAATAACAAGGCTGCGTCAACGAAAAACAAAGAAAACCATAAAAAATGGCTCTGAATATCCAGAAGAGGAGTAATCAGTATGAATTTTATAAGGTTGAAACGTACTGTAGTGTGCAGTTAAAATGCTTGCAAGATTGGAAGAGTGTACGTATATTAGGACTACTACAAATACTAAATAGAAAAGTAGAAAATACTTTGAAATCCCACATCCCTAAAACTGGAAAAAAAATGTGCTTTTAATAAATATTTTAAATCGTCTCATGTGAAATATCGAGAATGTTAATTAATTGAAAGAAACACAAGAATCAGAAGTTCAATGGACCAGCCGTAAAAAATTGTTCAGGAACTATTGTAGGACACCATAAAGCGAGTAGGATAAGCAAGTAATACCGAATTTCAGTAAAAAAATTGAAAAAAGTCATCAATTAAAGAGAGACTGTGGAATGGTAGCAATTTCAAATATAATTTGAACACTTCTACTTCAAGAAACAATAACATAAATATCTCTGTCAGCCAAATCAAGCAAATTATACTTAGAGGAAATAAATGTTGTCGCCGGTAGTGGCTTTAAAGAAAGGAATAACTTTGACTTATACCATAAGGAAAAGACAGAACGTATCTCATAAAGCAACCTGGTATGTGTTAGGACTTCATCATTTGCTACCAGCAATATATTGTGCTTCTGAGAACCATAATGCACTGTTACTGCGGATGATGTCCTTCGATAGCACACCAGATGTAACTAAATCAATTTAGATTGAAATGAAAAATGGAAAATGGTCAAATGTGTGTTACTAAGTGAATCCACTTCAGGTAAAGGAAAAGCTTGTGATTTCCTCGGTATAATTGTCATTTAATACCAAAATATATTTTAACTCTTCCAAAACAGAATAAATTTTTCTAAATTATGTGTCAACATACCTCTACTTGTGCATCCTTCACTGAACTGCAAGATACTGCAACTGATATTGCATTATCTGGTATACTGGACAAACATATTGGAGTACCAGTTGAGTTTTCAATAAATTCATTGTAGTCTTTAATTACTGTAGCCAAACGATGAGTAGAGGGACTTACTGTGCAATATGCTACTGCCTTATCATTTGGCATCAATTTGGCCTGCAGATTATAGTTTTCACTCTTTCTACCAAAAGCATGGAACGACGATCTAATATTAAAATCTGAATATGGAGTTCGGATGAAGTTTCTATTGAAAAGAATGATAGTGAAGGATAATGAAAAAAACTGCACGATAACTTTGAAGTTAAACATGGTACAAGACTTTAAAAAAACTCATTATTCCTCTCACTCTCTCGTTCTTTTTATTTTCGATTGAATAAGAGCTTACACTTTTACGAAGCTTCTGGATGCGATTGATAACTTCACGCGCAAAACCTTCGTCTTTCAGAGCATCATCTTCGGTTATATCTACTATCACTATTGTCTAAATTATACAGTAAAAATTCTCAAAGTATAATCAAAAATTTTTGTAAAAAAATTATGGTTACGTAAAACAAAATTTAAAAATAGTCATAAATCATAAAAGCATATCAACTACCGCTAGAATTGAGATTTTAGAATTACAAATATACACATAAACAAAGAATAATAATATAGTTTCACAAATACCTGCCCATCTGAATGCGCTTCCATTTGTCCGCCAACAGTTTGGACACCACGACATGCATAACATAAGCTCACTTCTTCAGCAGTCAATTCATAACCTAATATGTTCAATGTACCCCGTTCCGCAAACTGTTCCAATTCATCTTCAGTAACTTGATTCTGAAGAAGAAAAAATTTTCTGACTAGGAAAAATATTGAGAATGTAATGAAATATGCTAAATTTATTAACAGAAATAAATGGACTGCCTATTATGACTTTCTTTTGGACCACGAGTTCTCAAGCATTCTTACCAATGCAAGAAAAAATTTCTCCACTGCAAGACCGTCGTAAAATGTGGAGCATAGAGCTTCACATCTTTTTTCAACAAATGGTTCTGGAATACAATTAACACAAATCTAGAACTAAAAATGCTTAAATTTTCAACAAAGAACAATTTAAAATATATAAAAATATCTTTTAAAATGCATATAACAACCTTCAGATAATCAACAACTTTCTTCTGATCACTCTTCAATCTAGTGCCAAGTAAGCGGAAGTTTGGTTCAGCTTTCAAATACACACCATACTTTTCCTTATTGTGTGAAACTTTTAGCATTCTTACGTTAACTTCTGCCATAATATAATTTTGCAGTGAGAGAATGTCATCTAAGAATTGTTCTTCACGGTTGATTACGATCATCTCTTTCAATGGATACTGCAAAATATTGGTTGTATCAGTAAAAAAGAATACATTATAAGGAGTAATTAAATCCGAAAAAACTCAGTGCTGTCTAAACTCAATTAATAAACAGGAGATTTATAAAGAATGAACTATGATATGACGAAAAATATATCTATGCACCTTGACTGGTATTCCTTTTTTTTCTCGTAAAACCCGAACTAGATCAATAACTGCTCTCATTCTTGCAACTCTTTTTTCCACTGATTCATCTATTACATCATTTCTGAAAATTTGATATGGAACATGTTTCTTTCGGAAGATTTTAAATTAAACTAAAATAACCAAAAATAAAGTTCTTCCTATAGTCATCCGAGAAAAAAAAGGAAATAATGAGCTGATGTAAAAAAAAAATTCCAAAAGCTTCAAATTAGCTGAAACGACAATATCTCATGTACTAACCAATTTTATCTGAATAGAAAATATCATTTCACATAACAATTCAAAGTGATTAAGTAGTGCAAATATCTCTGAATATATTGTCTAAACTCAATTAATAAATAATTGAATTAATAAATAATAAATCAACATACTGTCTGAACTCAACTAATAAATAATTAACTGAATTCTTACAGTGGTTGTGGAATCATTTCGAAATGTATGGATTCACTGGATGATGAAGAAATATGCCGTAAATTACGCCATAAATGTTCACAAAAAAAAGGCGTAAATGGTGCCATGAGTCGGACGATCATCAGAAGAACTTTTCCTAATGTCGAAAGGCTGTGTGCACAATCTTTTGGACCATCTTCACCCTACAATTTGTATAAATATTCTTTCGCGTATACCAAGTATACTAATCTAATTAAATCAATTTTTATAGATTTAAAACTGCGCAAGAAAGAAAAAATAATGCAAAAGTCTATAATGACAAAACTAAAAAAATTCGATTTAAAGAGAAAAGCAAGGGGTATCCAATTAGTAGTGGGCAACCACTTCAATCTGATACATGAATCAGCCAATAACTTGAACCAAAATGACACATGCAGATTATTTTCAATGAGAAAGGCGTTAACCGCATAAATGATACGCAAGTTTCTAGAGGTTCTAGAGATTACAATATACTTGCTACACATATAAGGAATTAAATGAAAACCTAGAAGAAACAAAAACTTACTTTCATTCTTTTTCTATTTAAACGTATATAACAATTCGTTAAAGAGTCGAAATATTTCATTAGTGGTGCGACGACCGCATAAAGTCGATATGCACTCATTTCATTTCTAACAAAATTCAGCAAGCTGTTCGTAAACGACACAATCCATTTATCCATTACATTAACCGAATTACTATCCAGTAATGTGAAGCCTTTATTATTCATCTAAAATAATCAATTTATTCAAAATTATAGCAGAAAAAAATGAATGATAAAATAAATTCTGAAATACTAAGTAAGGTACATCTTATAAATGGCAATCTTTCTTTCGCTCAAAATTTTTGTTAAATAAAGAAAACAAAAAAAACTGAACAAACGAAAAACCAACAGATTCATAAATTTTCACATTCTGAATGAAAAATCTGTATGCATTATACCACGGTAATAATACATCTTTCAATACGTCTCTAACACCTTCTTCTCGAAAACGCAAATTCTCTCCACGAACAACAGGTGAATTGATCAAATAAACTCTCAAAGCATCAGCCCCATATTTTTCAATAATCTGCAACGCTCACTTATATTCGCAATGGCCAATATCACAAAGAATATTTGTATATGAAAAGTTATCTGTGAAAGTTTTCAAAATTTACAGAAACTTCCATAACCAACTTCCAAAGGATTTGGATAATTTTTCTTCCGTTTCGACATTTTCGAGCCGTCAGCAGCAAGTACCAGGCCATTGCAAATAAGATTTTTGAATGATGGTCGATCAAAGAGCGCTGTTGAAAGGACCATAAGAGTATAAAACCAACCTCGTGTCTGATCGATACCTATGAATTTAAATCCAATCAAAAACTGAAATTTGTAATCACTGGGAAATTAAATGCTCTTCAAAAATGGACATAACTTAGGAAAAGAAAATCACTGTATCACCAAATTCTTAATTTCGAAATGAATTAAAGGCTACTTAAAGCCAATTCTCATAAACTGTGATCCAAAAAAACCATAAACGTCATATGAATCTAACCAATGCAGCCTTTTTTTCACTATTTTTTTTACGATTGGAAAGGTTTGCCGATTAAATAAGCCACGCTTTTTGCAGTTTTTAACTTATTTTCTAACTATCATTGTTGATATGGAAGATATTTTTTTAGTTGGCTGCAAATTATACCATAGAATATTAATCTTCTTTGTTCTGAGAAATATTATGCAATTAACAATCTCATTAATCATTCCTTTCATCAATATAAGCAATTGCTAGTTAATGATGTAATACAGGCCCCTTGACAGGCTATAATATTTCGGAATAGGGAATATTTACTCCCGATTCCGAGAAAAAAAATTCCTCACACTCAACTTCTTACTATCCTCCGCGACAATATCATATTCATAAAACAGAAGTCAAAAACCTTCAGCGATGAAATCAGCCGGGAAATTATTCTCGAAATCACTTCTTTTTTCAAATGGATAATGATTCTGAGCATAGGGCATTGAACCAGATTCAAACCAGCAGTCGAAAACTTCGTTAACCCGATGCAACACGCCACGATTAGTACATGATGGTATTGTAATGTGATCGACGCTGAAAAATAAACACTTCACATTTGTACTACTTGTTCAAAATTATTTTTGTTTTTGTTTCAAATATTTTATAAATTCATATGCCACGCTTGTTCACATAACTTCCAAAAGACTCACTTTTCTCTATGCAGATCAGTCACTTTTTGCCCGGATAATTTTTCCAGTTCAGCAATTGAAGATGGGGCGATGATTTCTTCAAAATCATCACTCACCCACAAATTTATTGGAGTGCCCCAAAATCGATTTCTTGAAACAGCCCAATCATGAGCATCTTTTAACCAATTACCAAATCTCTTATCTTTCACAAATGAAGGAACCCTGGAAAAATCTACTTCAATATTTCATCTCACCATAGTTAAAAAAATTTAAACTTCTATATTGCAGTTTAAATAGTAACGTTAAACTAACCAGTAAGTTTTATCATTATTAGCTAGCAATTTTGGCACGATTTCTTCAACGCGAATGAACCAGGATGGTACCGCCATATAAAGCAGTGGTGTATCGGAGCGCCAACAAAAAGGATAATTGTGTTTCACTTCACTCAGTTTGACAAGATTTCCATGCTGCTAAAACTAATAATAACATTTCATAGCTTGATTCAAGCTACGCATAAACAGTAAACAGCAGAAAAAAATCACCAAAATAGAATAATCAAAAAAATTAAAGCCGGGATCAACTATTATTTCAAGAAGTTATCTTATCTATAAGAAAATCTGTTGGAATAATAGTTGACACCAGGCTTAATTTTACAAACCTTCAAATACTTGCAAATATTTTTGTCAGCATCTTTTACATACTGGCCGCAAAAATCAATGATTTCATCTCTGAATCGACCACATTCATCGACTGGACAGATTGGTTTCATATCACGGGTTATTACACCATTATCCAAACATGTTTGAAAGTCAATCTGAATCATAATATAGCCAATCCCATTTATCATAATAAAATTATTAGATGAACTCTTTGTTCAATTTGTTTTGGAATACATAATTTGAAATCTCGATTAGAACTTAGCAGTTTGAAATCTGGCAAACCAACAGAGACGAATTTTTGAACGTATCTAAAACGAAAAGATGAAATACAAACGTTTTCAAAAGTACTTTGTATAATTTACCTCTCCAAAATAGGGAGCTTGATGCACCACACCAGTACCTTGTTCGGTGGTGATATACGTAGCAACAAGAATTCGAAAAGCGCCAGTTTTATTTTTCATTTCAGCGAAATATGGAAAAAGTGGCTGGTAAGTTTTACCTTCCAGTACTTTCCCCTTGAATCGATCCAAAATTTCATAATCTTCAACGTCTTTGTATAATTCAGATATCCTCTAAAAGTTAAATTAAGACTGAAGAATTATTAAAATTTTAAAATTGTATTTCTATGACTGTCTACATTAACATTAACATTAACATAACTATCCAATTATTTTTTAATTTTTCATAATGAGAATATGAACTTTATGATTCAATCATGTTTCAGCCTGACTAAGAAAAGAGGTATGTAAGGACAGTTATCAACAACTACTCTTAACAAAATGTTTAAAACATTTTATTTTTTTAAATACTATTTTTGCAAATAGGTCCCTTTTACTCATATTATTTTTATAAACTCTAAACAAAGCCACCTCTTCCATCAAGATATATTTTTTTTCAGTTTTTTTATCCCGAACAGTGACGTAAACAAGATCTGGATGAACAGCAATACATAAATTACTGGGCAAAGTCCACGGTGTTGTCGTCCATGCCGCTAATTGTATTGATGAATCATCATCTAATGTGAAACCAACAACCACTAAAAACATTATCTGATATAAGACTCTTTGGCACAATGCATTTATTTACAACAGATTTCTCATATGTTAACATATGCTAATATCTATGTGTGTCCTATATTAATATATACTTTGAATGAATTTACATTTGGAAATGACATTAATTCTCTAGAAACATGCAGAATGGTAGGTTTCAGTATACATAGTATTGATCCTTCTTATGTAGAAACAATTATAGATTCTCATAATCAAAGAAATACAGCCGATGCTTATAAAAGAGAGTCATTGCCTCAATTTTCAATCCTTAATTATGAGCCCTCGAAGATTTTAAAAAGCTCAAATGATATTTTCTGACAGTTGATAATTGTAGAATTAACTATTAATCCAGAATACCTGCAGGATCAACAACATCTTTATAATTTTGTCCAGCTTCAAAATTTGAAAGCGGTGTAGAGCAAGCTGTCGAAAATGGCATAACCTAAATTTAAATATCAATGTAATTTCTCAAAACATGAAATAAGGTGATACATCCTGAAGAATGTATATTTTCCATATTGAGGAATATATTTTCGTACCAAATTTAAAAGAAGGAGTCTTCTCGTTTTTCAAATCGAAAAACTGCTTCGCCGATTAACTAATATAATTTCCGATATAGAAACGAACGAAGTAAAATGATAAAAACATACCTTGACTCCTCTGTATACAAGTCCTTTTTTGAATAACTGACTAAAGACCCACCAAACACTTTCCATGAACCATGGATAAAGTGTCTTATAATCGTTTCGGAAATCAATCCAGCGTCCCAAACGTTCAACTGTATTCTATAAAAAATTTACGAATGAATTCCACAAAAGATAAAGAAAAGAATTATTGAGAACATGAACGCTTCGAAAAAAATATTTTACAATAAACTACAGCTTTATAAAACTATGCAAAAATGCAAATGAAATAACAGCGTACAAACCTCCCATTCTGACGAGTATCGCATGACAATACTTCGACACTCAGCATTATACTTATCAATGCCTAGCTTTAGGACATCATGAGGACCTTTAACACCAAGTATTTTATCGATTTCATATTCCTGAAATGATATCTTTATATCTTTAAAAATGATACTGTTTCATTTTTCATCTTTATAAATATTTGGCATTTTTGAAAAATTTGATGAAATCTAACAAAAATTTCGAAACATACTACTGGAAGACCATGCGTATCCCAACCAAAGCGACGTTCAACATAATATCCATTTTGATGTGCCCAGCGAGTAACAACATCTTTAATAGTTCCAGCCAAAATATGACCGTAATGAGGCAAGCCCGTAGCAAACGGAGGACCATCGTAGAATGTGTAACGTGCACGACCTTTGCTGAGCCTAAATTTTAACATAAAATATAATGATGACAAGAATTTCTACGAATGTGAAAAATTAAAGTTTCTGCATTGTTATGAAGATATCCCGTAATTTTGCGGTCATTTACATGATAGTTCAAAAAGTACTTCAATTTTTAATATTATAAATACATTATTTCAGTTTGTTTAAATCACTACAAACAGTATTGATGAGAATTGAAAGGAATCATTTATGCAACGTAAACAACACGAAGCAATAAAGTTTACTTCAAAGATTTTGCAAATATCTTCTCTTCTCGCCACCACTGCAATATTTTCAATTCCTCAGCGGAGAAATCGATTTGTTCGTTGATTTCTTGCAATTTACCCATTCGAAGCAGAACTTTAACGTGATTTATGAAATTACTTTAAAGCAGATCGGAATACCCTGCGACAGCAATCAATGAAAGAGTTGAAAGGTTAAGACATTTCATAAATTTGCAAGATGTATCAGAGGAGTAGAGTCAACAACAGAAGGTTAATTTCTTGGGATGACATAGAACATGTACCTTTCTAATTCCTATCTGTAACTTATTTTCGTGAAATGAACTCGTACCCTTTGCTAGTCGCATTTCGACGCGTCACGAGAATATTTAATTGAGGTATGGAGAAGATGGAGTAGGATTTGGACAGGTGGAAGGAAGATGCATCAGAGGAGAGAGAAGGAAGTGTTCTCATCCAGTAGGACTGCCCAGATTCCTTGCTGGGGAATCTGGGCAGTCCTATCAGGGAGAGGAAGCCGTGGAATTAACTGGGAAGCGAGTCCTGATGGGTTGTGCAGGAAAAAGAACGTCTTCATTTGTGTGTAAGATGGAATGGGTCACGCTGAGGACATACTGAGCAACTTTTTCTGCATCAAAATAATAATGAAATAGCAGTAAAGGGAATAAGGACTGAACTTGAAGAATGCACTCATCTAACTTAGTCGAAATCCTGACCCGTAAATTCGATTCTGAAATCTTAAAGCAGTTATGAGCTACCATGGGGTACTTCTCTTTCGTCCATCTCTCTTGTTTGTTTTCTCTCCTTTTATCTTCATTTTCATTTTTCTTTGGTCACGCAGTAATCCGTTACGTATCTCCAAAATCCATTCTAATGAGCCAAAAAAAAGACGTGAAATGTTGAAGTTAATTGTTGGAAGACTGAATCCATTCCGGAATATTACGAATGGGGAAAAATAAAATTAATAAATTATGAGTTGTCTTATTTCCGTCTTAAATTGATTAGCCTTTATATCAGTAAACGTCTTCCACGTCAAGCAGTGTTGTCTTCAGTTAGAAACCTTCTTGCTGAATGGCATATCTACCAAATAACGCTCTTACATTTATTGAAAACAAGTTAAACCTTTGTCTCAAATCATTGTAATTTTAAAATGTCAAAACTTCCTTTCAGATATGAAATTTTTTTTAAATTCTCTTGAAACAAGAATATTAAAGATTTTCAATCACTAAGTGAAATTTCAGTATAAATACAAAGCAGGATTGACAAAATTTGTTGCAGTTATAGAAACAAATAATTTAAAATTTTTTAACAAATAATTTTTAGAAACAACAAGTAAAACATATGCTTCGTCCAACAACTGAATTTTGAAAGCAAATTTCGAACAATATTACTGATATTGTGGAAGCGGAAGCGACCACAGTACTGCCGTACGATCAGCGCTGGTACTCAAAAATGAGAAATCATGTGGATGCCATCTGGAAAAAAAAATATAAAAAAGATTGATAAAATAAAATATATTTTATTAATTGCGTATGTATATCTAATCATGATTTATTTACTTTAAATATACAAGCATTAAAATTAACGCAGCTTACTGTAACAAAATGATAATAATAAATGTATTAGGAAATGTGATGCTTATTAAAAATTCGAAAATACCTGCATTTACCTGCATTGTATCACTTTATCATTATGTTCAGCAACTGGGAGATACATTAAGGGTGTCATCAAATCACCTCTCATATCTGTGATAACCACTCTGTAAACAATATATCAATTACTTTAAACATTTGGAAAAAAAATGAAAATTTATATAATTTAATTTAATAATGCTACCTTTTATCATATGAGCCACTAAGAAGATAATATGCAGCGTTACTGAATCGTACAGTACGAACTTCATCACCATGTGGTCGATAAATTTGCACAATTCTACCACCAACAATATCATACAACATCACTGATGCATCTTCGTGTCCCGATACTAGTAGTTTTCCACTTGGATCTACGCAAACTGATGTCACTGGTGCATCTGAGAAATAGTATTAATTACTTTTATGGACTAAAATAAAAGCAAAATTTCAATGATACTACAACGAATAAAAAGAACTTACTAGAGGTCTTACAATTCGGAGAAATGATGTTTACAGCTTCTGCACCTCTTAGATCCCAAAATCGTATCGTTTTATCTTGTGAGCAGCTAACAAAATACCCGTTACACCATGTATATAAGCCAAGAATAGGAGCTGAAAGTTAATGATTTTGTTTGGATTTTCTATTTGAATTTTATGAAATTTTTCTTGGGAAAGAAATATTGATTGATGCATTTGTGAACGCATCATTAAGTATTGGTAGATTTTTACCATTCAAACTAACCGGTATGTCCCTGATAAGAGCTTAATGGTTGACCCGTAGCGCAATCCGTTAAATGAATGCGGCAATTGCCAGCGCCACCGGAAACTAATATTGTACTTCGATTCGTCTTATCATGCATGAAAATTAAATCACGAACTGTACCATCGTGAATATTCAGCTCCGTTTCTGCACCTGAATTTTCTAAGATGCAACTAACTGCCTCACATAACTTTATGCTTCCGAAAACGGCAAAAATTTCTTTTCTAAAAATTGCTATTTGGAGACTAAAAATTAAACTGATCCCAATTTTCAAAGATATAAAGCGTACCAATTTTGCAGTTTTCAGTGTTAAAAGCCATTAATCGAAGTGTTTTATCATTGGAACCTGTTGCAAGTAATTCACCGGTAGGATTGAATCCCAAACAATATACACTGCCGCGATGTTGCTTTGGCCTTGATAAGATGACCTCAATTTGACGCGAAGCATCTTCAGGTCTGGAATGAAGCATTCAGTTGAATTTCCTGAACCAAAATGATTAAATTTCTAAAGCATTCAATTAAATTTTTGAATGTTTGTGTAATACTTCCATGTTAAGCAACGGAAGCACCTATTTCGGGTAACCTATTTGCGATTCCCATTCTTCATTTACAGGATTACATTGGTCATCCTTCTGAAAGGTTTATTATCATTTTGGTGAGTAGAAGCAATTGCCATTTCTTTTCTACATGATTTCTACTAAATGTATGTCTGACGTTATCCAACCATTTCTCCTTCCAACAGAATGACCGTAATTTTTCACTTCCAGTGATAAAGAATTGAAAGTTTTTTTTCTGTGCTATAAAATTTATGCCATTATAACAAAATATTAAAATAAAGGCAAAGTACCTGAACTTTCTGAGGTCAGGATATTTACAGATAAGCATTTGTTTCGAGTTGGTTCCCAGTGCGAAAAAGCGACCAGTTGGATGGAATGCTACGGTCCGTATCGCTTGCACATCTTCATATCTGGTAAAAAAAATCTCTGAGATGTCCAACCTGTGAGGAAGTAGATTTTGCGTGACAAAATAATAATAGAAACAAAATATGAAATTTACCGACAAACTGGAACAAACTGCACACTGAGTCCATTTGTTGAACAAGCTGCCTGAGATACCGTGGTAGCAGTTTGAATACCAGCAGTGCTAGCACTTCTCCGAACTGGCGATCGGTCTGATTCGACAGGTCCGATATGAGCTTCTGAAGTTGTCATAACTTCCGGAACCTTTGGTATCCTACCTGGCTAAACAATTTTAATGACAAAATCATATGGAATGTTTTCATTTTTTGAAAATTGTGTCAACAAAACAATTGCAAAAGTCAGCTGCTTAATTAAAGAGACCGGAAAGTGGGTAACAAGAATTTATGCCCATAAACAAAATCATTCTGGATAAGTGATACCGTGAGTGGAGCTTTATTCATCTTTCGTGACGATACACCACCAACCATTGGTGACTCTGACGTATTTGACGCAGATGTGATATGCATCATCTGACTATTTAAACCAGCAATTTGCGAAAATTGTAAAGGTGTGGTAAATTGTGGTCTTTCTGAAAAAGAACGATATTAACGTATTGCATATAAGAATTGTTATTGTACATGGAAATAATACTTTAACTTTTTGACATTGAACTGGTGAATAATTTTTAATGAAAGAGGCATAAATATCTTAGATTTGTTGTGCTTATATTTGATTTTTTTAAGAACTTTTAACTTCGCTGATACTCCTCACCTCAATCTACATGATAAAACTCAAAGCGCAGTACCGCCTTTCTATCAGATAATGAAATATTCTATGAACACAGATTGTATTCTAGAACCAGTTTAAAAATCAACTAACTTTGCTGACGTAGTTGTCGATTTGAAAATTCTTGGAATAAAGATGTACTCATTGGATTATTGACGCCTGTCGACGCTGATGAAAAATGTAATGGAGATAGTGGAATTGAATCATTTTTGTTTGGTGCAGCGGTAATATCCAAAGAATTTTCAGTTTGTGCTGATTCTACCAAAGAGCACTCGTTTGGTGTAGAAAGTTCAGGTACTGGTGGTAGGGAGCCTATCCATTGACCACGTCGCGCCATATCTTCCAATTGATGACGTAACGTGTTTTCTGTAGAGAGGGACAATTGCGCCATGGAATGCATCATCCGTGGGTTAACAAAACCCATATTCTGTGTTATCATACCTTGCCTAAAATGCTGTTATTTTACATGTAAAAAAGTAAAAAAAGGTAGTTTAAGACAAAATGAGACGAAAGATGTATTTTAAGTCATTTATTACTTACGAGTTCAGGAAATACAACTTACTGATTTCGTTGCAACGCATTAAGCATTACACCCGATGTTTGCATTAGTGCTGTGTTGGGATGTGGCAACTGATCGCATGATTTATCAGGTCGGCTACTTCTGGTGTGTTCCGATGTTTCGAACATTACATCAATCATCTGGCTTTGTGCCATCACCTCTTTTGGATGTTCTTCTGTGCTACTTTGGATTGAGAAACCCACTGATGGCATCGTAGAATATGACATCGGATGAAAGGGACTTCGCGTACCGGATAAAACACCTTCAACAATTTTGTGCTCCTTGATTTTCAAATCGATTTTAAATTCAAAATACTACCTAGCTAATAACTGAGGACGAAGACCAACAAGGAATGCATATTTGGCTGTAAAACTTTTTTAAAAATCAAAGATATATATATTGTTAAAACAGTTAAAAATTTACCAACAGTAACCGATGATGTCATCGATGGTAGTACCAAAGAACGGCTCATTTTTTCAGCGCATTTCAACTTAACATTTGGAACCAAAGCATGTGGAAATGTACCACCAGGTTTGATTGGTGTTGCAAGGATATGTTCTGTCCATTGAGCTTCTAATTTAGGTTTTCTAAATTGTCTAATTGATAAATTCTTATAAAAAAAAAACTTAACTGCAATGTTGCTAAAAATGTTCCTCGCACAAAAATAAGCGATCTATCTGAGATAAAATCATTAGGATCGAATTACTGGAACATCCTTGGTATTTTCGCAATGATTCTTATTGGTAGAAATTACTACTGAATATAATCACAAAACTTGCTTCACTTTATCAAACTTTAAATCCAAAGTTTTCTGTTCAAAGGGCAGTGTAAACTGTCCGCGACCAATAGCTGCAAGCCAGGATATCAATGATAAATCCGTATTCATTAGCCGTGGTTTAGTAGACAGAAGTCCTGTTGGAACTGCACCCTTTTCGATGCCTAAATAGGTATTTGTGGATTGAATGCTTGATTATTATTTCATCGCTTACATTATTATTACTATTCTAGTAGGTTACTTATAATAGCAAATTACAGGATCAGTTATTATAGCAGAAGGTTATCCCGCTGGCACTATCATGGATTAATGTCGCAGTTAAATGCATTTTGCGCTATAAACATTTCCATATACATAAACATTTCCACGTATTTGCAATAAACATTTCCACGTACTCCTAAATTCCAATCGGTCATCTTTATTTGACATGATCAATCCAAAACTTTATTTGTTCTAGCATCTAATAGCTAACATCTGATGATCATTATAATGAGCTTAATAGTATGTAGTTTAATCCTTTGTATTATGATGAGACAATCATATCCTCTCCAACCAACATGAATAAATCCGCACATATACACATATCAGGTATTCTTTCAAATTTCAAATTTTAGACATGGAATTTTTTTGGAATCTCACAAATTTCTCACTTAATTTTGCACAATTTGCATGATTATATATGTATGGTTTTTTTACATACATTTACATATTATCATTTTCTTATAAATGCTTACTTAATTAAATTCAATTTGTGATATCCAATTTTTTCCAATTTATTAATTTACATAATGCTTAGTTATTCACATAGAAATCTCTCACCCTTTTGATCATTGATAGCCTGAGCCTGACAGTAATCCACACAACCTTCATACATTGTTCCTTTTACGACCAGTTGCATCAAACGATCATTGAAAGAATGTGATGATGACGGTTGGTCTGGATTTTTTACTGCTGAAGGTAGTAAAGGTGTAACCATTGGTTCAATCTAGAAATTAAATTTAGTTGTCAATCTATCGGTAAAATATTTTTTACCTGATTACTATATACTTATGATTTACATAGATTACATCATAATGCTACTTCTATGCTTGCAAACTTGCTTCTAAATATAATGTTACTTTATCATTTTCACATTTACTTTATAATTTAGGCAAAAAATAAAAATTTGCTATTGTTCCAGATAACCTTTTGAAAGCACTCCATTCGAGCGCTGCTTGGATTCCAACTTTTAAAATCGACATGATCAGATAATTTAGGCAAAGTGAGTAAAGCGCACAGAGCATGAAAGTCCTCTGACGATGGACATATATGTTCCAAATCTTTTAAGCATTCTACCAATTCCTGAAAATGTGAACATCAATCTTCTTATCTATTTGTTATGAAATCCAGCAAATGACAATTATTACAACCTCAACCGTAAAATCGTTATCATGCATTGGGCCTGGCTCTTGTCTGATGCATAAGAGTTCGAAATATTTATATTTTGTAATATAATATCGAAATGTTCGCAAATTAAAATCTGGCAAATCTCGAAGAGGTTCCACAAAATCTAATGCATTATCCCATTGACCATCTAGGATTAACTGTCGCAAGAACAAGACATCATCTGAGAAATCGCCATTGATTATACCGGTCTCTCGTTCCAGTGATAGCTGAATATAAATTTAAAGTTACGAGAGATGAAAATTAATCTTAATTATATCATTGATAATTGATCATCTTAATAATTTATCAATCTTTTTAAATTTTAATGAACCTGAGCAATATGTAAGCTTCGAGTTTCCAGGAATTCCAAAATAATTTTGATGACATCCTTCTCGCTAATAGTTATATGCACAGCTTCTGACATTGTTGTAAATCAAATTTAATAGACATTATAGTCTTATCAATGAATACATTGCAAGAAAATCGAAAGGGGTTTTGCAGTGATTTCTGTAAAGGACAACTTAAAAAAAACTTTTGCCAAAAATATGAATATAAAAATAAAAGATTGCCAGGAATAAGCAAATTTTAAGTAAAATATGAATTTAAATTTAACTAAATATCACGGATGCAATAGAGAAATCGAAAATTTTTTGGATAAGACATTAATCTTCAGGTATTATCTCAATGTAGAATGAATCGATGGAGGATAAACGTGCATAATTAAAATCTTAATACAACATATTATCAAGGCATTAATAGTAGTAATAACCTTCCAGAATTACCTTTGCCCTCCCTCTCTCTCTCTCTCCCTCTCTCTCTGCTAACTAATAATACTTATAAATTGGTGAAGCACAAATTGTTAGCAACATTTTATGGGTATAAGTAAGTAAATAGAATGAATGTCGTCTTCGCAAAATATATTTGAAAAAAAATAGTGTAGAAGAGAAAAAAAGTGAAGAAAATTTAAATACATGAGCACAAAAATTTCTTAACCAAATTTAAATTCAAGCTTAATTTATATTTGTTTAATATCAAATGAATGAAGCATGTATTAGACATATCTGTGCAGAGCACAAAAATAATAATTGTATGAAGAAGAATTTTACAAAATCTATAAAATTATCGAAGAATTTATTTCTATGCAAATATATTCATTCAAGAAAAGATTTCGAATAACATTCTTAAAAATTGACCATAAATGTATTCATACTGATTGGAAGAAACATAAATGAAATGATAAGAAAAACTGCCATCTCATTCGAATCGATATTAGGAAGGAGGTTGGCAATTGCTAGCCATACTTGGCTATATCGACTTTCGATAATAACGTTGTTGGTGGATGGGTACATGAAAAGAGGTCCGAAATAGATAGGATAATTTTACTGGTGGATGTAATCCTCTTCCAAAGACGCTCTAAATTGACATTTATTTAAAGCAGATGTTTGAGTAAAAATATCCATTATTAATTAGAAGATAGTAATGAAAATTGTTTGATAAAGAATTTCGTCTTATTGTTTCTGCCTAACTTTTGACATTTTTTGTTAAGCAAAATAAGAAAAAATAAGTTTCAAAGGAAGAGAGCATTTCATTAAATTTACAGCCTATTAGAGTTGTTGGAATATCTAGAGTACACTATGATATAATTGTTTTTTTTTTGGAAGAGATTCTGAAGAAAATGATAAAAAATTTTGATGCAAGGAGAGAAAGTAATGAATTTGAATGCATCGTCATATCACCAAAAGTTGATTTTAGGATTGACAAAAGAGGCTTCGTTAGCAGTATGGAATGAAAATTTTCCTCAGTCTTGCTGTTTGGTAGCTGAAAGTACATTTTGCGAAAGAAAGTTCAACAAATGAAGACAGTTGTTGGAGAAATAAAAGTTTCAAAGAATTTAGATTAAGAAACGGAAAAGATAGATTGATTACATGTAAAACATTTTCCATAAATCGTTCCAAGAGAGAACGGAACAATGTGCAGAATTATGATCTCCTAGGCCTGGTCACATTATCATCATCACTATGCCTCCAGAAGAATTTATCATTCCTAACCCTTTTTTACCATTTAATATTTTTTTACTTCAGAAAAGGCATTTAAATAGCCTCTGTGTATATTTTTAGCATATCATAAAGAGCTAAAAACTCGATATTTCAAAAGCAAAAATTAGAAGTAGCTTTGGGACGTGAAGGCATTTATTATTGAACAACTCGTTTTGTAGCGCTATCAATCTGATTCATTTATATAATGAGCGGTATCCAAAAAGTGTCATTTTTTGGCAGCTACGATTTCCAGAATTATCCATAGTTTAAAAAATAAATTTGAAAAATGTTAATTTTTATAGCTAGAAAACAGAATTCATTAAGAATAGAACTGAAAGGATTACATAGACATATAGCTGTGTTGAAACGATTTATTAAACTTACAAAAATCAAATCGGCAATTAATGATTATTTATTGATTTCTGCATTATTCCAATTAATTGATTACATCTTTTTAGTCTATTTTTAATCCATTAATTCTCCAAGCAGCAAAAGGCCTCGGGTTTTATCTTTATAAAATTTTAATCTAGTAAATCTAATAGTTCCAAGGCTTTATTCGAAGAGTCTGATTCTATTTATTTAGTTTCCAATAATAAATTAAAAAAAACTTA